AGCCTTAAGTCTTCGGCCCTGAACCTTCGCCTCTGACCTCGGAACCCAAGCCCTGGGCCCTGAACTCCCTAAACCCTAAACCCTAAACCCTAAACCCTAAACCCTAAACCCTAAACCCTAAACCCCTGACACCAGGCGAGAGTGTGAAGCGGAAGTTCATGAGCTCTCCATGGGATTTCTTTGCGAGCTGCCTGCTGCCACTTTGGTTAAAGCCATACTTCTCGAAATGCCTTCTGATGTTTTCCAGTTGGGGTGAGCTTTAGAGTTTAGGTTCATGTCATCGGATTTTGGGGGTTGGGGTTCAGGGTTTGGGGTCTTGGGTTTGGCGTTTGAGAAACCTGACTGGATGGCTGTACAGGGGCCCCATGGAGGGTCATTAGCCTTAAAATCTAAGCCTGTTTCGTGGGCCCTAAACCCTAAATCCTAAATCCTAAACCTTAAACACTAATGCCCAAGCCGTAAACCCTAAACCCTAAATGGTTGGTTTAGGCTCGTTAGCTTCGGAGGTTGTGGCAGAGTCCCCAGTTTTCAATTCTTTTCCAGGCGAGTCGTTTAGGGTTTAGGGTTCAGAGTTTAGGGTTTAGGGGTTTCAATCTCCTTTCAGGCGTTTTGTCTTCCTTCCCGGGTGTCTGCAGAGCTTCATTGTTGTTTGTCTCTGTGCAGCGGCTCTATTGATGACGACAAGCGCTCGGCTTTTTTCGGCTTACACAATATAGGAGCCTGCAAAATTACCTCTACCAGCTTGGGGGTTCCTTATTATACTTTTATTATAAAGGAGCCCAAAACCCTATTCTAATTATGGCCCCTACATTCTGTGCGGTTTTCAGCCGTGGGCAATGAGTTTAGGTTTAAGCATTAACCTAAACCCTAAACCCTCAACCCTAAACCCTAAACCGTTGAGTTTATCCCGCTCTTCATGGATCTACCGTGCCACTTTCTTTGCTCTGCAAAAGCGGAGGCCCGACATAAACACCCCAGAGACTCCAATATCCCTCAATTAAGGAATATACCTTAAATCTTATTAGGGTTCCTACTCTAATTTAAGGTATATTCCTTAATTAAGGGATATTGGAGTCTCTGGGACTAGGTCATTCATCGTAGACAACTAGTTTTCACACAACCAGAGGCATCGAATATCATAGTGAAGGGGCACTTCTAGTTACTGAGCGGTGCACCCCCCACGCTGGCGAAAGTTTACCGTGCTGTTTGATTTTGCATGCCAGGTTGGACCCATCGGCATGCTTCGTCTTGCATGAAGCATGGATTAGAAGCTGAATGATCTACAGTATTGGGTGAGTGCCGTTTCTTTGCTGCAATGCTCCCCCTGAAGCAGAAACGATGCTAGGGTTCTGAGAAACCTTAAGCCGTAAACCTTAAATCCTGAATACTAAGCCCTAAGCACTAAACCCTAAGCCCTAAACCCTAAATCCTAAACCCTAAACCCAAACACTATTCACCAAGAGCCAAGGTATTACATCGCGAGCGGCCTGGTGGTGCTGTCATGCACGGCCGGCGTTCTCGCCACTCCTCCGCAAGCAAAGCACCGCAAATGCTTGTCTCGAAGGTTCCTATAGAATCCAGAAGATGGTTTAGGGTTTAGGGTTTAGGGCATGATCGAGTGTTTTGAACTGTATATGTAGGTCGTACCGACAGGGGTGCTATGTGTGTGGCAGCCGGGCTGAAGACGTGCCTCAGAGCCTGCTCGCATTTCCCGGAGCGACGCTGGAATTCGTGACTGCGCAGCCTCGCCTCACTGTTGCTTCTCCCTATCCGACCAGGAACTGTCGGTTTGTGTTGTATTTGGGTTTAGGGTTTAGGGTTTAGGGTTTAGGGTTTAGGGTTTAGGGGCATGACTACATTCTTGCGTTGGGTGATTTGGAACAAAGTGAAGTGCTTTCAGTCAGCATCATTGCTGAGCTTAGCTCGACAGCCCTGATTTAGCGCAAGGGTTGAAAAGATATGTTATGTGTGCGATTCTTCTTAGTAACGGAGCTAGAGATGCAGCTGATATCATGTTTGTAAACTCGGCAGCCATAAAGCTCTGAACCTGCCCCTCCTAAACCCGAAATCTGGAACCCTTCGTTTGCGGTTTCGGTTGAGGGCATGTAGGGTTTATGGTCCCGATCCAGAACTCCCTGACCCCCTAGCGCCCGATCTCAGGTGATTAACCAGGTTCCGACGACCCTCCACTCCCACATCGTGGTCCTGCGTCTCGGCGGATCGGATCCCGAAAATCTCGCATCGCAGCCTGCAGGGTCTAGGGTTTAGGGTTTAGGGTTTAGGGTTTAGGGTTTAGGGTTTAGGGTTTAGGGTTTAGGGTTTAGGGTTTAGGGTTTAGGGTTAGGGTTTAGGGTTTCGTGCGGAGGGGTCTCCAACGGTCTTAAAGCTTTCTGGAGTGTCGGGCGGGAGGATTCGGGGAAGCCGAAAAAGAAGGATCGACACCCTAGCCCACAAGCCCCTAAACTCTAAACCCCAAACCTTAAACCCCCAACCCTAAACTCTAAACCCTAAACCCTAAACCCCAAACCCTAAACCATAAACCCTGAACCCCTAAAGCCTAAACTCCCAAACCCTGAACCCCTGACACTAAAACTTTTGCCCTAATATAGGGGCCTTACTAATTGGGGTTTAGGGTTTAGGGTTTACCAATCACTGTATAATATACCCCCCAAAACCCAACTCTAATTATTAAGGCCCCTACATTAAACCCGAAGCACAAGGGCTCAAAGGCGCCATGGCTTCGAGCGCCAACACCCCAAAAGTTTCGGGTTTACGCTTAGGATTTGGGGTTTAGGGATTGGGGTTTAGGGTTTAGGGTTTAGGGGTTTAGGATGTAGGGTTTCAGGTTTAGGGCTTAGGGACATGGAAGTCTGAGGAAATCAGAGACCCAACCCAACCCGAAATATTGAACCTTAGTATCCGTATGGCTTCTGTTTAAAGGAAACCAAGGCCGTAAAGCTAAGCCTCATTCTGCAGTACCCATGCTAGAAAATGTAATTCCCATAGGGCTGCCCAAGACAATGCACCGTTGGATAACCAAAACGAGCCATCAAACGGCACTCGTTGTGATCTTCACTTGTCAGGTTGCCCAAATCCTGGACCGAAGGCACCAGCTTGCGATGGATTTCAGGGCCTAAACCCAAAATGCTAAACCCTAAACCCTAAGCCCTAAGCCCTAAGCCCTAAACCCTAAACCCTAAGCCCTAAGCCCTTAACCCTGAACCCTAAACCCTAAACCCTAAGCCTTAAGCCCTAAACCCAAAGCCCTAAATCGCTTGCGCTGGATTTCGGGGCTTTGGTGTTCCGGCCCCTGGGTTCGGGCTAAGGGTTAAGGGCCTAGGGCTTAGGATTTAGGGCTTAGAGTTTAGGGTTTAGGGTAAACGGTTTAGGGCTTAGAGTTTAGGGTTGAGGGGTTTAGAGCTTCAGGTTTAGGGTTTATGGTTTAGGGTTTATCGGGAGGGGGCCAAGGGCACTAAACCCTGAACCCTAAAGCTCTTGAGCCCGTTAGCACGCTAACTTTCTAGACACCGTTCAAACCAGATCCGTCATATTGCCTTCCAAAACCGTGACCCCAAATCTCATGATCCACGGGCCCATCCCCAATTGCTTTAAGTCTTAAACAGCACTGGTGCAATCGATAGTATTACTGACAGTAACCTCAAGACAAGGCCCTACTGCCCTAAACCCTAAAGCCGTAGAGACTAAGCTCCCAAACAGAAGCTTTAAGTCCCACGTGCAGGACTTACGGGCACCACGGCCGTTCGAGAAACAGGTGATGTCGACTTGGTTTTCTGGACGGTTCTTCCTTTTGCCGCTGTGGCAGCACTTGCCGCCACGGTTTCGGGTAAGGCTGTCATGGCTCGGCGTTCATGTAAATCCCTGATGGGTAAGCACATCACCATCTCTTGAAGTGCAAGCATCATGGGATCTTTAGTAGCCATCCCAGACGCTGAACTCTAAACCCTATCCTGCATTGTGAAGGGAGCCAGAAGCGCGATGCCCAGGGCTTGCACTTCCTGGAGTACCGGCAGTGTTGTGACGACGACGACTACTGAAGTTTTTACTTTGCTGAGACCTGCTCAGACGTAGCTTTGCTGTGTGGTGCTAGCACTACCTATCATTATCGTCAGTCTTATCTACATCTCTTATGTTGACCGAACGTGCAGGCTCAAGGCTTGTGGCTGAGGCACCCTAACTTTAAAACCCTAAACTCTAAACCCTAAGCCCTAAACCCCCTAACCCCCCAAATCGAAAGGCTCCAAACCTCGTGCCTGCTGAGGTGGTCTTCTATGTGATCCCGCAGGCGTACTTTGTGGGCGTCGTTTTGCTGAAGCATCTTCGACGGAAATCCGATATCTGTAGTGTTCAATTAAAGGACTCAGGGCGGGCTTAGGGTTTGGGATGAATACTTAAAGAACCATGGGACTTAGTAGGTAGGGTTTAGGGTTTAGGGTTTAGGGTATAGGGTTTAGGGTCATGGGACTTAGTAAGTAGGGTTATAACTAAGGTAACTATACTTATAACCCCAATTAGGGGACTTATAACCGTACTTACTAAGTCCCATGATCCTCCAAGTAGGTTTTTGATACAGATCCCTGAGTGAATCCGCCCAGGAGTTTCTGTCACAGCTGTTACCATAAGGACCCGCAGAAGGACCCTAGCTTAGAAAACTACCTGCCGCAAACCCTCAAGGAACGATTACACGGTCTTGTCCTGAAGCCTACACCTCCCAAAACGTACCCGCAACCTCAGCAGCAGCCTCAACCCTTAGACTCTAGGCACAGCACCACCCCTGCTTAGGAACCCTAAAGCCAAAACCCCAAGCCTTGAAGGAGCCACTAAGGGGTTCAGGGAACACAGGACCCAGGTCCACAACCCCAAACCCCAAATCCCAAACCCCAGGCCCAACATCGCAACAAGAACCTTGAAGTCCAAATTCCCTAAACCCGGACCCTAAACAACTGAACCCCAAAACCCTAAACCCGAAACCCTAAACCCTACACCCAAGACCCCGAATCCCCCCCAAATCCCCAAAACCCAAAACCCCAAAACCCCAAAACCTGTGAACCTTGAAACGAAGCGCCAGGCTTGGATGCCCTCGGCGTGCCAGCACAAGCCGTGGAACCCGGGTTGTTCTATGTGGCTTCGGGACGGTTGGTTGCTTTACGGATTCCATAGGTTCTATAAGTGTGCTGTATGTGATGTTTGTGGTTTGTTTTTAGAGTCTTTGTCGGTGGTTCAGAGTTTTGGGCCCTGAGCTTCAGGGTTCTGAGGCTTTTGGGTTTTTGTTTTGGAGTTTGCCGTTTCGGATCATTCCCCCTCAACTGGCCCTGAACGGTTGGGACCTGCTTTTGTTTCTGTGTGGTGTGCGTGTTTGAGCCCAGACTGGATCACTCCTATAACCTCTAAGCGCCGAATAGAGCCTTATAAACCCCTTACAAGATCCTCATGTAGAACCAATGTTTGCAGACATTATAGAAACATTACCCTACGATCCGTAGTATATGCGCAATTTTTTTTATGTACATATATATAGATACATATATGTACAAAATACATATATATATATATATATGTATTTTGATTAGGAAATCAGTAGGTAACCATTAAATCTCCGGGGCATATTAGAAGTTGAAAAGGTTAACCTTTTTTGGGCTAGGGTACTCAGCCCCTAAGTATATGTATATACATATATATATATATATGTATACAAAAGTATATGTTGATTTATGTATTTGTTGATTTCTTTGTTTGAGTACTTATGTAGTTGTTTGTTTATTTGTTTGATATTATCTAGCGTAAGTAACTACCTGGGAACCCCATTAAGGTGAAAGTACGGCACATGGACCCTTATCATTCTATAGCCTAAACCTAGAACACTTCTAGTACCTACGGAGCCCTTAGCTTACCGGAACTCCTGAAGGAGCCCTTACGCTATCTTGTACATTGTTGGTAGATATACTATAAACCCCCAAACCCCCAAATCCCAAACCCTAAACCCCAAGCCGCAAGCGCTAAACCCTTGATGGGGACCCTATTGTAGAACCCTATAGTTCCTTGAAGAGGGACCTTACTCGAGCACCCCTATAGTACTTGGAGGTTCATGGGTATATAGTTATAAGTAGGGCTATAAGTAGGGTAACTATAATTATAACCTAAATTAGGGGACTTCTAACTTATAACTCCACTTATAACTACCCATGAACCTCCAAGTACCCTTAATGGGGGACCTATTATAGAACCCTGTAGTTCCTTGAAGAGGCTTATTCGAGAACCCCTATAGTACTTACCCTAAACCCTAAACCCTATAGTGCCGGTAAAAGGGGTCGTCGAAACCGCCGGACTGACCCAAGGACCTGAGCTTGATGACTTTTGCAAAGCAGATCGAGGCAGCCCCCGGGCGAATACTCAGAGGATTCGGGTTCAGGGTTTAGGGTTTAGGGTTTAGGGTGTAGGGTTTTGGGTGTTGGGTTTAGGGTTTGGGGATTCGGGTTTAGGGTGTAGGCGGTTTAGGATTACGGCTCAACCTCCCTTGCAGCTTTCCGGCACCCTCCCCGTGAATCAGTGGTTCATTGTGGTTTAGGATGTTGTAGGGGGCTAAGGCACATATGAAGCATGGTTCGAATTAGGGTTTTGTTGGCTGCGCTCCTCGTCAAGCCTGTTGAGTGCTTGATTTTTATAGGGAGGTCAGATGATGTCAGTAAACAGACCCTATGATGTATGGCCCCTGGTAGTAGGTATCTATGGTGCATTAGATCATAGAAGGAGGGTATGGGCACTTGAAGAGTCAAGGATGGTAGGTGAACGCTTGCAGGTTTCGCGGTTCAGGCATCTGTTTAAGGGCTTGATGTTCCTTACTGTTACACTATAGCTACCTTACTCATAAGTTGCTCATAAGCGTATCATAAGCGTCCTTGTCAAGAATACAAGCACTAAGTTGTAGGTGACGTACCACATTGCCTATACCCATAGGCTCCATAGTAGTTCCTCTTTGGGGTTACCTTATAGGATCCTAAACATAAACCACAAGAAATACTATGGAGCTTATGGGTACCATCCATCATCGTTATGACCCTCGACCTCATAGAGCAGTGTTTGATGAAGCCCCGCTGAGCTCCGGAATGAGGGGGGTTTGTTATTTTTGCCCAATAGCCCTAGCATGCTCCGGTTTGAGGGAAGGATTCTCTTCCGCATCCCCTCATGCAAATTGTACTCATTATGTCTGGAGATGATCATCAGTTGCCCCTTTAACCCTCAAGCTGCTTCAAGCATAAAGCCTATAAGCCCGATAAACCCTAAACTCTGAACCCTAAACCCTAAAGCCCAAAGCCTATAAATCCTATAAGCCCTGAGCCCTACGAGAAGGTCCTGGGGCTGCCCGTAAGGTGTGGCTCATGCTTGCATCCAAGGTCCATCATGCTTCTGTCCTGCTAGGCGTGCACGGACAAGGCCGGCCCATGGAAGGGATGAATAATGGGGTAAGTGTACTTGTAGGTATATGCGTAGTTCTCTAAATTAGGGTCCCTTTTTGGGTCCCCAATATAGTACGGCACCCTTATAAAAAGGACCCTAAAAGGGACCCGAATTTAGAGAACAACCCATATGTATAGAAAGCTAGGGTTGTGTTTCTAGATTCCTACGCCATGTGGAGGCGTGTTTGCTCTTCGATTCGTGGATACTTGGAAGTTTATGAATAGTCATGGGTGGGGAATTTTCCGCCCTATAACTGCCCATGCACCTCCAACTAGAGAAGTGAGTTGAGCCACGCACTGCCGTTTTCGAGGAGGCAGAAGTGGGTCAGGACATTGTAGGTCAGGGAAGCCACATTGCGCTGCATGAAATGCGCAGCAGTCTGCGTGTGTGTGTGTGTGTGTCAGACATATAGCATGCACATGGGATAGAAGCACGTGTGTTTGTTTGTGTGTGTGTGTGTTGAAAGCTTTCAAAAGGGCATCGGTCTATGATCCTGTGCTCCCTCGTCCGATTCCTGCGCTGAGTCTGCAGAACGCTTCCTGACTGCCCTACACCCTGAGCCTAGAAACCCTAAGCCCTGCACCCCAAGCCCAAAATCCTGAAGTTAAAAGCTGGAGCCACATTGAGAGGGCATTTCTGCACAGGCCTTTTCAACCTCATTTTCCTACCTGCCGGCGCTGCCGTCGTGGAGGCACATCTTGAGTTGGTCAGCAGACTCTTGGGGTCGTGAGCAACCTGACGGTACATGGGGTTTAGGGTTTAGGGGTTTAGGGTTTAGGGTTTAGGGTGTAAGACCCGCTGCAGCTGCTGATGTCTTGCTACAGCTACGGAGCCTTCAATGTTGTTCCTTAATGTTCGATGCTGGCTTCTGTTCCACATGCCTATGCAGCACCAGGACCATCACCATCAGAGGCCGCTAAAGGAACTTGTTGAAAGGACTTGAACACATCGAAACCCCCAAAGCGCTAAACCCAAAAAATCCTTAAAGCGCTAAACTTACAATCCCAAGAGGGCCCAAACCTTAGGATCTCCAAACCCTTACAGGAACCCTTTGATGGCCGCGAAGGTCCAGCCCTGTGGGGTGGCGATGTCATTGACCTTCAACGTGGCGGATGCCTGGAATGTTTTTGGAGCTTACCCTTCGGGCGTTAACCAGGTCCTGCAAAGCTTTTTATTATAGGGTTTTACACCGGTGCCAGGGGGGGTTCATTGGGTTTGAAGAGGTTTATGCCCCGAAATTCGAGACCTCGGTGTATCATGTATACTCTAGGCACATGAAGCCGTAGGGTTCGACTTCAAAAACCCAAGCTCTCTCTCGGCTCTCACAGGGCAAGTTGCAGGGTTTACCAGGAACCTGAAAGACCCACCGCTTGAGGGCTCCTTGTTCAGATCCCTTATATGAGTCCTTAGAATCCTGGAAGAGGTAGGTTGAGGGGTATGAGGTGCGGCATGTGCTTGGGCTCAAGGTCTGACTGTTGTGTTTTTCACGCAGCGTCGCTTAGGGTTTACCCTAAGGCTCATGGACCCCCATAGTGAAAGCCCAAACCTTAGCCCCCAAAGCCCAAACCTTCCCCTAGAAGGCCCATAATAGCAATAAGAGCCTTAGGGTTCAGGGTTGAAGGACACTAAACCCTAAACCCTAAACCCTAAACCCTAAACCCTAAACCCTAAACCCTTAGGGTTCCAGGGTTGAAGGGTTTGGGGCTCCTGGGCTTCAGGGTCCAGGGTTGAAGGGTTTATAGGCTTTACTCTAGGGGCCTAAATAACTAAAGGGTCCAAGTACCATTATAGTAGGTACTTAGTAGGTATTTTGTCCCCAAAAGTATATACTATACTAGTACTTGGACCCTTTGGGATAACTACCAATTCTACTGCGGGGGGTCCTTATTATATTTGGAGCATAATGGGCCCCAAAAACCTTATTATCATTATTAAGGCCCCTAAACCCTAAACCCTTAACCCTAAAGTTTAGGGCCTAAGCCCGGGCAGACCGTCGGTGCGGCTCTGAGCCTAGCGGGCCCAGCGGTGGTTTTCTGGTCCGGTAAAAACCCCAAGCCCCATCATAGAACCGGGCTCAGGGTTTACCCATAGGCTCCATCGTAGTTCCTTTTTGTGGTTTATATTTCGGACCAAATATGGGATCCTATCAGGTAATCCCAAAAAGGAAATACTATGGATCATATGGGTACGCCTTGAAGAAGCCCTGTGGTTATGTTTACAGAGCCCTGTGGTACCCTTATGGTAACCTCCGGAAGTAATCCGTAGCCCCTTGTGTTGGGCCACTCCTTCACACGCAGTTGTTCGATCCCAGGAGCTCTTCGGCGTACGCTTCGCTGAAATTCTGTGCCTTGGGCGTAGCGGCATTCATTTTCTTGCAACATGCTGTGCGAAAGTATAATCCCAAAGCCTGAAAACCAGAACCCTGCTTCGGGATGGTGGAGACAAGATGTACATAAGCTGTGTATTTGATCGTAGAGTTTCGTCGAAGCGCTTCAATGTTTTGAAATCCTGACCACAAGCTCATGGACTCATAGCCGGCTTTCGAAGGCCGTGCTGGACAACGTTTTCGAAAGCCCTAGGCCCCAAACTCTAATCCTTCAGGAACACAACATGTGACGAGGAGTTTCAGCAGAGATTCGCCACTCAGCTGAATCGGCCTAATTGCAATATGTCGGGCTACTTGTGTCATTGTTGCTACCATAGAATATAATAAACGATATACATAAGTTCTTTTTATCTATATATACACAATGAGATTATGTATTTATTCATATTCGTGCATACATGTAGATGCCCATGCCAAAGAGAAAGTGTGTTTGACTCTGTGCGTGTGTGTGTGTGCGTGCGTTTCTGTGATGTTGTCCTTCCCTGTCTGCTGAGATCAATCAGGTTATCTGAGCATGATGTCATTCTTGCTTTCGTGTTGGAGCTGCAGCAGAAAAGAAGGAACCCAGATATCGACCTCAACTAACTAGATGCGGACGTATCCCTGCGTAGAGATGCTTTGAAATGTGCCGCACGAAAATGTGCACAGTGTCCTCTAACCCCGCAGCCAAATCTCGAAGCCCCCCCAAAAAAAAAAAAAACAAAAAAGA